GATTGATCCCTTTCCAAAGAAGTATTCAGGTATTTGTCTTCAATCTCATTAATTCTGTCTTCCATTGCATCGATTCTACTCCTTTGCTTTTTCAATGTGTTATCTATTTCTGAAAATTTAGTATTAATCTTCTGGATTTATATCTGTAGATTTGAAATCATATCTAATTTTTCATTTATTTTGTCATTTTGTTCTTGTATTTTCTTCTGAAATTGTTCTAGGGTTTTGTCTGTGTTTTTCTCAATTTTGACAGTGTTTTCCTGGATCTGTCTCCCAATCCTTTGAAGATACCTAAATATAATTATTTTGAATTCCTTATTAGAGAGTGTGTGTTCTTCGTCTGTATCCTGCTTCTTTGCTTCTACCAGTTTTTCTTGCTCCTTTGTGTGGACTGTGAGGTCTGCTGTCTCCAACCATTGTGATGCTGTTATATTTAGATCTCTGTTAACTGTTGAAGAAGAGAAGTAAGGGTGAGTTGTTTGTGGTTGTTTGTTGTCATCCAGTTGGTGGAGGAGGAAGTGGCTCTCACTCAGTAAGTGGAGCTGCAGGAGGTGCAGGTATGGGTGCATTGTATGGGCACAGTTGTTGTCTCCCACTCAGACAAAAACAACAATCAAAATGCCATCAAAAAAGTAAAAGCAAGTGGGCAAAAAACATACCACATAAACACACAGGAACAATCACCAAAAAAAAAAGGAAAAAGGGGAAAAAAATCCCACACTATCTGAGGAGAAGGCAATAAGAGAATAAAGGTAGAGTAGAAGAATGATGAAGAAAAAAAAAATGGGAAAAATGCAAAAAGAAAAACAAGGAATGGGGTTAATCATAAGAAAGAAAGAAATTGGAACCAGGAAAAGGGAAGAGAGAAAAAGCAGAAAACTAGAACCTAAGAAGGGAAGAATAAAGAATAATAATAAAAAGGTCAACAACAATAAAATACATTTTAAAACAAACAAAAACAAACTGAAAATAAAAGAAAAAAAATCTGGGCAGGGTAGGGTAGGACACTCAGGCTCTGTTGGAGTACAGACTGGGATGGAATTGCTGCCAGTCCAGAAAGTGGGTGGGAGTGAGGGATGGCTGCACCTCTGTTCATCAAGAGAGTATGAGGTATAAGAGTAACAAGAAGAACATTGCACCTTTCCAGTCATTGGCATCTAGAATGTCCTTGTGGTTCCCAGCAAGTGGAGACTGTTCTTAAGTCGCGGGAATCTCGGAGGACACTGTCGCTTTAAAGATCCAAAATGGTCAAACAGCTTGGAAATATTCAAAATGGCTGCAACCTCTGGACAGGCAAAAGTCCACAGTTTAGCCCACCTTCCTCTTCACTGCTTCATCTTTTATTCACCAACTACCCGTGCAGTTCTCCATGCAGTCCCTGGCTAGAAGGGCTGATTTTTAGGTTAATTCTTAGGTCCTAACATCACTCAGCAATATCCAAGATCTCTGTGCCATCAGGATCATTGCCAGACCACAGCTTCATATGTTTCCTTTTTTGTTGTTTTCATGCAAATTCTTCTGTTAGTTGTAGTTTCGTCCACTTCTATATCCTTCTCTTCAAGGTTCAGGGGTCCAGGAATATGTTCTGTATCTGTGTTAATTGGTTCCTCTTTCTTTTTGTTGAAGAGGGTCTGTACCAAGTAACTTGAGTCTTGATTTCAAAGTCCACGAATACTGGGATTATACTGATTATATTAAAAAAAAAAAAGAGTTTATTTTAAGATTCTAGCACTAAATTATAAGTTCTAACTATGCAAAAATCATGTCTAACTATTCTGTTCAAATACAACATTTCCTTATGTAGCTTATCTGCTACATAACATGAAATGCAGATGCAGTTGTGGAACAATGATGATATCACAAGATTGACTAGTTTAAGTCTGCAAAAGCATATATGGAAATTGTACTTGTTAATCACCTTCACAAATTACCTTCAAAAAAACAAAAAATGAGAACAAAAAACTTCAGTGACTTGAAACATAAGTACTTTGTAGCATACTTCTTTGCAAGCAAATAAGTAAATAATTTGTCTTACCTGTCCAAAGGTTTGCTTCAGCTATTGACTGACCAAACTGTTGTTCTATATATTTGAATATGAAACTTGAAGTACCAATATAGCCACTGATATGTAACAACATCAAAAACAAGAATATAACATATAACGGGTTGGTGAGGATGCTTTTCAAGGACTGGCAAAAACCTGTAAGAAAATGAAACAATTCAAAATATATTAAACTTCATCTTAAATGTATATCAATATCTTAATTTCATAATCATAATATAAATTATATAAGATTTAAGATTACATAAATATATAACACAGAAAAATGAGAATACCCTTCAATCCTACTATCAGAAGATTTTGAAAAATACATTACTTCAATTTTTAACATATGAATGATAATATTTATTTAGTTAGCTCATTTTGTCACAAAACAGCATCATATACATGCTATTTTTCATCTTTCTTTGTTCACTTAACATTTGGTTCTTCTTGGCACTCTGATTGCATACATTATTTATTCATTTATTCAACAAATATTTGGTTTTCTATTGAGCACAAGGCAATATGCTAAGTCATGGAAAAACAAAAATGAATAAGATACACAATGTCTCTCCCTTATTAGTACTTAATAATGCAATTTTCAAGTATGAATATACCTTGAAGATAAATAATTCAAAAACTCTCAGAAGCAAGTGCCTAAAGCATTTGACTGGTAACTAGAAGCCTGGAGGTTCAAACCCACCAGCCACTCCTCAGAAAGAAGGTTGAGCAATATACTTCTGTAGTGATACTTCCTTGGAAACCCAAGGAGGGGTTGCTATGAGTTGGATCTGACTTGACGGCAG